CCCCCGGGGAGGCAGAAGGAGCGGCCGGGGTAAGGGTTGGACGGGGGGTGGACCACCTTTCACTTCGATGTATCAAAATTATCATCCCACTTCAAGTGCTCTTGAAGGATAGTTGGAGCAGACACCTCTGTGGTATGACACAGAAGTCATAACTAGGACTTGGAGCGCACAGGACAACTTTAGTTGCTAAACAGTTTTAGTCGCCCAAGTGTAAACAATGAAATAAAGATACACCGCGTGCACCGGCAACTCCAGTTTCTGGCAACTGAAAAGTTTGGGTTCTGTCACAACTTGCCGGCAACTGTTGCTCAAAACTTCTGGGTTACACAGTAAACTGAGGCGTGGCGAGCACAGGAGACTAAAACTATTGCGCAGCTGAAGTTGCCCTATGTGTGCCTAGCCTTAAGGTTGGTTTCAAACCTTTCAAGCAGGCATCGTAAGGGTGGGAACCACAGTTGCTGACTATATACTTTTTTTCTTATTCACTGGCAAAACCCGATTGTGAGAAAACATTTATCTGGACTTATCAGTGAGGATGGCCTCCGAGTTAACTGTGGTCATGACGGATTTGGAATAGCAAGCCGGGAAATAATGGTGGACTCGCTGCTGACTAAATCTGGTACAAATGCTGCAATGTTGACTTTCACCACTTACTGCTAAGTCTTGCCTCTACAATAAATGTGTAACGATGTTATTTGCCTTGCTTTCAATGAAATAAATACCCGTCTATCTTGAATAGAAATCTAGACATTTATGGTTGAAGGAGGGGGTAGTCGACGGGGTTCAGAGGTAAATGTAGCAAGAAAATGGCCGCCAAAGTTTGGCGACTCTCGTAGCTTGAGAGAACCTGAAAACTGGACATTTTCGTTTTTTTGTGTGCCCTTTAGCAACGTTTTTCCAGTAATATCCACACCGAAATGTGTTTTTAAATGAACATAAAAGGTGTTGGGCCAGCACACAAAATTTGGAAAAAATGTTGGTTTCTTCGATTTCATCATTTTCACCATGATGCTTCACAAATTGTTATGAAAGTACACACAGGCTTGCCGTCCCAGTTAACTCCCAAGAGTACCCGAGATCCACAGCTCAAGACTTCAGACCAGAGTGTTTGTCGACATTTTTATAGCCAGTGTCCACTTTTACTACAATTGAAAGGCGTACCGCGTAACTACATACTGTATTTCCAAGACAGGCATTAAATACTACCTGTGCCTTCCTGCCCAACAAAATAACAACATTGCCCACTAGTGGGCTATATCGCGCAGGTTGGCAAGCACGGCTGTAGTTGAGGGAAGTTATTCTATCGAGTTTCCCAGTAGGTCTGCGAAGATGCTGTACCCCACTCAGCCCAGGCTGGGCTTGTCAGGCACAGTTAAAGCAGCCCGCCTCCTCAGTGACCTGTCTTACGTCTATGGGGATGTAAATTATTTCACAAGCATCGTTCGTTCGTTCCTTTCTGCCAGTCGAAGATCCCCGCCTAGAACATAAAAAAATACTTTAAAAAAACCAACAAAGAACAAAAAGAACAAAAATCTCGGACACTCCACAATGTTGAGTCGACTTTTTTTGTAATACCTTTTACGTTTTACTTACAGCTTTTAACTTATGAAATACATCCCGATATTCCCTCATTGAAGCTCATCTCTTATAAAAAACAACCTCACTCTCATCTCAAGTAAATTCTATCCAATCCTCGCTCCCACCCCCTTTTTTCCTGTTTCATAAATGCTAACTCACACTTGGTTTTCTCTGCAGCAAATTTTATTTTTTAGTAAAAGTTTTACAGCACTTGCAACACAATTAGGCCATTTAAGGGCCAAAGATTAGAGGTGTTACGAGAGAAGAGGGAGGATAGGTATTATTAAGGACGATAGAAAGTTGATGGTGCTGAAGGAGTAAACCACACCAGAACACCCGCCAACCACCTAGGTAGCAAACTGAGAACCTTTCCCCTACCCATTTTTTCCACTTACGTTGTCACAAATTCCTGTCTCTGCTATCGAGTGACCTCCCTCTTTTTTCAAAAATAGCACAATATAACCCCCTCCCTTACAACAACAACAACAACAACAACAACAACAACAACAACAACAAAAAAGAAATATTAAACAGAAAAGAAAAGTACATGTACAACAAACTACAAACACTCAATACAAAATAACACAAGCGGCCCAATCGCATCCACCACCCCCGTTTTGACTCACTAACATAGTGCGAACCCTTCC